TATAAAATATATAGTGAGTAGATTATAGCATATAGGTTATTGCAGTAAACTATAAACAAAATACAATGAATGTTATGTGTACTTTAAATACTTAAGTTTAATATATGCATGTATGGTTTAATAATTCTTGTAGTTGGTGTATGTATGTATATATATATATATATATATATATATATATATATATATATATATATATATATATATATATATATATATATATATATATATATATATATATATATATATATATATATATATATATATATATATATACATACATACATACACCAACTTTTCATTATTCACATCTTTGCAATGACATCGCAAACGGTGGACGCTTTTTTCTAACGGATGATAATAACTTTTTTAAAAGACGAAAAAAAGAAAAATGTAAACATTTATAAATTAAAAGAAAAATAAAATCAACTAAAAAAGAAGAATGAATAAATGTTTTAAAAGAAGAAAAGAAAAAGAAATATTTGAAAGGAAATAAGTAAAAAAGTAATGAAAATAGAAATTAAAAAAAAAACAACAACTAATGAATGAAATAAAAATGAATAGAAAAGAAAGAAAATAATAACTATTTCTATACATCGAAAAAAGATTGGCAAATCAAGATTTTTTTATTTTTTCATATATTTCTTTAGGTTTATTTCATATATTTCTTAGGATTCTTTATTTACGATTTATTTTTTAGTTTTGCTGTTATGCGGTCTTGTAGTAATGTTTTTTCTTTAGTTTTTAGCGTATTAAGTTTTACTTTATATATTTTGTGAGTCATTTATTGTTTTATTTTTTAGTTATTAATTATTTTTAAATAGTGATATATAAATTTTATACAGTTATATATTATTTTTTTTATTTTCATTTTAGCTATTTATCATATATGTTTTATTCTACCATGTCATATTATATATTTTTCTTCTTTATTTGTTGTTGTTTTTAGTTTTTATTTTATGTTGTTGTTTTTTTATTGTTTTTTTTGTTGTCAAAAATATTTAACGTAATTTTTTGTTTTGTTCTTAATGTTTGTTGTATCTTTTGTTTTGTTTTGATTTTTTAAGTGTTTTTCTGTTTACATTTTATTTAATTAGTTTCTGTTTACATATTTATTTATTTATTATTTGCAATATATTTTGGTTATGATCAGTGCCGGATCATGGGTGGAAGGGGGGGGGGGGGGGGGCAAATTTAAGGGCTCCCAAAAATTTTAGAGGACTTTTTTTTTTTTTTTAGTCATTTTTAGGCTCTGGCCAATAAAGAGGCCTCCAAAATCAAAAATAGCCCCGGGCCCCAAGAAATCTTAATCCGCCACTGGTTATGGTTATTATAAGATTAATATATTTACTAAATCATTATAATTTTTTTTAGCAATAGTTGTTTTTATATCATCGTTGGTTGTTACGTTTTGTCAGTTTATTACTGTTTGTAACTGTAACTTTGTATGTATAAGCGATTCATGTATAGAAAGTTATACCTATTTATTTAAATTGCTATATTATTTATATTAATTACTATATTATTAATATTACTATTTTTAAAGTAACATGTTATTATTATTATTATTTATTATTATTGTTATTATTGCTATTATTATTATTACTATAACTATTTTAATCATTGTTATTAGGTGTTTACTTAATATTAGTAGTTAATACTATTTGTAAGCAACCTTGAAATGTAATACCAAATATTTCAGAAAATATATTGATTGATTGATTGATTATATATATATATATATATATATATATATATATATATATATATATATATGTATATATATATATATATATATATATATATATATATATATATATATATATATATATATATATATATATATATATATATATATATATATATATATGTATATATATATAAGCCTGGGTCTACTTAAATCGACAGCAATTATTTTTTACACCATAAGTCGACATAAAAAATTTTCTTTTTTTAATTCATTTTTCACTAACAGATGTTGCGTAGATTAAGTATTTGTATAGAAAAAAAATTTAAGTGATCAATTAAACGCCTTTTTAAAAAGAAATAGAAAATTTGTCGACATAGCGATTTTAACGCATGCACATATATTTCAACTTGACGTCGTAGAAATAGTATAAAATAAATTTTATACACATATTTTTAAGTTTATTTGTCATTTTTACATATATTTATATTAAAAAAATTTATAAAAATATAGAAATATTAAAATACAAGTTTATATATTTATTATTGTTGACTTGAGGCGTAGAATAAGTCTACTTATAGTTGAAAAAAACATATTATATAATGTCTAAATGTTAATTTTTTTTTTAAACTGGTCGTATATTATTTTAACTAAATAGTTTATCTATATTTTAAACAAAAATTATAATAAATATATCTTTATATTTCAAACAAAAAATGCAATTTCTTAACTATCGACCTATAGATCGTTTATATAACACGAGTAAATATACGCGCTTTTAAAGAAAGTTACTGTTTTTGTTTATAGTTTTCCGCATTTTTTTTTTGTTAATGTTTTTCATAGAAATCTCTTGAGTATAATTTAGACATTACAACGGTATCTTTTTTTTTAAATTTCCATTGAACTAATCGTTACTAAAATTCATTCAAACGTAAAGTCGACAGGAAATTTGTCGACTTATGAAAATTGTCGACTTGACGATGGTTATAGAGACATAGTTTGTCGACTTTGGGCTGACCTAGTCTTATATATATATATATATATATATATATATATATATATATATATATATATATATATATATATATATATATATATATATATATATATATATATATATATATATATATATATATTATATATATTATATATATATATATATATATATATATATATATATATATATATATATATATATATATATATATATATATATATATATATATTTAGAAAGTGAAATATGGTTAGAAACTATAAAAGAAAAACTGATCGTGGCAATTTTTCTGAGCAGAGCATGTTATTGGCAATCGACTCTGTAAAATTAAAGGAAATGTCACTGAGAAAAGCAGCTTTGACATTTAGTGTAAATAAAGATGCTTTACATAGAAGGATTCAGAGAAAATTAAAGAATTTAGAATCTTGTAATATTCATAAACGATCACTTGTTTCATTTAAAAAAGTATTGCCAGATGATACTGAAAGTCAATTAGTTAGCTACATTAAAGAAATGGATTTAGTTTATTATGGATTGTCGATAAGTGACATTCAACAAATTGTCTTCCAGTACGTAGAAAAGTATAACATAGTTCATCCATTTAATAAATATAATGGTGTTGCAGGAAGAGATTTTGTAAGTGGATTTTTGAAGAGACATCCAGATCTTTCAATAAGAAAGCCTCAGGGGTTGTCTTTAAATCGTATTTATGGTTTAAACCGCAGTTCTGTGAATATTTATCTCAATAATATAGAAAATGTTATTAAAAAATATAAGTTTGAAGCTCATCAAATTTTTAACTGCGATGAATCAGGCATTACAACTGTACATAAACCTGTTAAAGTTATAACAAAAAAAAGGGAAACATTGTATTTCTTCTGTAACAAGTGGTGAACGGGGTGTAACAACAACCGTTGTTTGTGCTATGAATGTAACTGGACTATTTGTTTCACCAATGATGATTTTTAAGAGAAAGCGAATGAAATTAGAACTAATCGACCATGCTCCCTTTGGAACAATTGGAGGGTGCTCTAAAAATGGATGGATTACAACTGATCTGTTCATAGAGTATATAAAACACTTTACTAAGTACACTAGAGCTTCTATAGAAAATAAAATTCTTTTAATTTTAGATGGGCACAAAGCTCATACAAAAAACATTAATTTGTTAGATTTTGCAAAGGAAAATGGATTAGTTGTTATAAGCTTACCACCTCACACTTCTCATAAGTTGCAGCCACTTGATCGAAGCTTTTTTAAACCATTAAAAACTTTTTATAATATAGAATGTGGATCATGGTTGCGTGAGCATCCTGGAAGAAAAATAACAACTGATCAACTTGGAGGTATATTCTCCAAAGCTTATATAAAGGCTGCCTCTGTAGAAATTGCCTGTTCTGGTTTTCGTACATCTGGAATTTATCCTTTTTGTCCAGATATAATTCCAGACACTGAGTTTAATGAAGACAAAAGATCTAATGACATCTTACATAAACCTAATAAATTCGAATCACAAGTTAATTTTAGCACCTAATTACCATTGCCCTCATGATCTTCAGAAAATATTGATTTTGATATAACACCATGCTTCTCTAATATTGTACCAATTCCAAAGATCATTTTACCACCATAAAAAGGAGAAGAATCACAGATAATAACAACATCACATTACAGAAAATCACTATTTGAATCCTCTGAAAAATTAAAAAAGTTAAAAGAACACAAAATAGAAAATAAAAGTGCATTAGGAAAGGGTAAAAAAAAGTTTAAAGTTTAAGTGTTGAAGACTGGGAATGTTATGTTTGTAATGGTTTATGGAGTAAGGCTGCAAAAGGAGAGAAGTGGAGTCAATGTTCAAAATGCACAACCTGGGCTCATTCAGACTGTTGTTCGTTTCAAAATACTGGTCAAGCAATATGTGATTTATGTGACTAGTGACAGTTTGATTATAGCAATAATATATTATAAATGTATTTCTTTCCTCTTAAAGATCTGTTTTGTGTAATTTTATTTATTTAAACTGCTAAAAAAAAACCTATCCTGTCTCATTTTGCAAAATGAAACAGGATAGGAGCTGTCAATAAATGATCCCAGGTGACCAAACCACTGCAGTTTTGCAACTCATATTTTGTAAGCTTCAAGTAGGATGGTTGAAGATTTGAAAAATATCAAGTTATTTTTTCAAAAGTTGTTAGACAGGCCGCATTAGATAAATTAGTGCTTAAGTGTCTCATTTTGCCCCTCGTTACGCTATATAGATTTTTCTATCTTTTTTAAAATCCATTTATTTTGAACGTTTTTTATAATAATAAAGTGTTTGCCTGATGGAAAAAATCATTTTTTTGAAAATGCAATTAATTCAAGATTTTGCAATTAAATAATTTCTACAAACAATGTAAGTCCTATTAAACTTTGGAAACATATCGGACATCAATAAAATTCTTGTATCTAGAAACCAATAAAGAAATTGTATCTTTGCTCGAGACAAATGGATTGCTAGGCAGAATAAAACAGGTTTGATGAAAATGCGTCTAAACATCAAACGAAAAAACAACAACTAAAACAGCAAAATATAAAACTTAAAACTTAAACAAAGTTAAATAAAAAAAAAAAACAACAGCAATAGAAAAACCATCATACAATTAAGACTAAAATAAAACATTTGAAAACAAACGATAACTGAAAAAAGCTGAAATCGCTTGTAATTAATACTTAATTTAACGCTGCCGCTGCTGTCCATTCGTACGCGTTTACACGGACTTTTTTACCATTTATTATAAATAAGCAGCCGTGGCGCAGTGGTAGCGCACTTGCCTCAGAAACGTAAGATCCATGGTTCAAACCCCACCTCTGGGCAAGTTTTGCGACATCGGTTGGGAAGGAGGCGTGAACTTCCTATTAAATGCTCTTTCGCGGTGCTCATTGATAAGACCGTAAGGACTTTTTGGGGTACCTTAATCAACTTAAAAAAAAAAAAAAAAGGATTTAGCATGCACCTTCTCTTTATACTTTTGAACTCACGCGACGAGGTACTCTCAAATCTTAATAATCTGTCAATATCTGCTTAATCAGTAATAAGATCAAAAACTTTGCTTCATCAGCTTAATTAATGACAAGATCGACAATTTTTATTAGATAACTTTTGTAGTAAAAGATCAACCTTACGTTATTTTTGAATTAGTAATTTTTAAAGTAACTTTTAAAGTCAGGTGATTTATTTAACTCATGCATTATAATAATAACACAATAATAATATAATAATAATAATAATAATAATAACACATGCATTATAATAATAGCACAATTCAAGTCTTTTGCCAATTGTATTTAAAGTATATTAATTTTAAAAGCGATTAGAAGACGATAACGACTCTAGCAGACGTTGCTCTTTTTAAAGGTCAAGAGGTCAAACTCTTGATAAAGTTAGTGTTGATCTCCAAAACCCTTGCATCTCGAACGGTCAACTCTATGTTACATGTTAAAGAACAAAAATCGATTAATACCTTATTTTTAAGAAGTTAAAAAAAATCCGTTTGCTTTTATCTAAAAAACCAGATCGTTTGATCGTTTGTTTTTGCAAGTTGTTTAACATTTATTACGAGGTCATTAAACAAAAATAAGTTTGTCATAAAACAAAAATAAGGTTGTATTTGTAAAGTCTCTAATTTATATATTTTTCTTAATTTATATATTTATTTATATTTGAGTGTTATTTATTATGTGTTTATATGTTTTAAGGTTATATGGGTTTATATTTTGTGTGTAAATATATCTTTTATATATGAAATGTTTCTATGTTTGTGATGTGTTATAATGTTATGTGTTTATAGTTTGTAAGTGATTATTATGTTGTTTTCATGGTTTCAAATTGCTGTGACTTGGCTTAGTTTACAGCAAGATTGTTGACCTTACTAGCCAAGAGGTGTACTTTGCAATAATGTGACTTGGCTTTGATGAGAACGAAAGTGCTATCCTTGTCAGTAGAGTGGTGAACTGTCATGATGAAACACAAATTAAATCTGTTTGTAATTAGTGTATTCCTAAAATGTGTTGAAAAAATATTGTTGAAAGAATGTGATTAATGTTGTTATGCTCTGTTCTTTTTTGTTAACAATTTATGCTTTTGACAATAAATAAATTTTGTTAAAAAACAGGCTTTCTTTTAACTTATAGCCCCTCCCCATTAAAACATTTAAGAGTTTCGATTTCCTTTATTTAACTTAATTTAACTTATGTTTAACTTAATATTTAACTTATGTTTAACTTAATTTAACTTATGTTTAACTTAATTTAACTTATGTTTAACCTCATTTTTTTATATATATAAAAGTAAGTATAAAACGTGTTAAAACATGTTTCTTAGTAATTTTTTCATTAAATTTTTAGGTTTTTTTTGTATAGAGAATATTTTCTTTATACTATTATTTTAATATTATATATATATATATATATATATATATATATATATATATATATATATATATATATATATATATATATATATATATATATATATAAAAGATTAGATTTTTTAACTCATCCATCATCATTTAATATCCAAAACCATCATTTAATATCCAAAAGATTTGATTTTTTAACTCATTTTCTTTTGTACAGATTTATTATTTTTACGAGAAAAAAAACATATTTACATCTGATGATTGTATTTAGCATGAACCTAATAGTTGTGAAAAATATGCAGTTTTATTTATAAATAATATATGTAAATACAGTTCTGTTTTAATTTAAATCATTTTAATTTACTTTAATTCATCGAGCACTCTCGGGAGGATATATGGAAGCACTAGTACATATATGTATATATATATATATATTTATATATATATATATATATATATATATATATATATATATATATATATATATATATATATTCTACAAATAGAGTGTTCAATGTTCTTAAAGAACAGAGCATTAATTAATTGTTGTGATATTTTATGCAAATAGGCTCACATTCATGTTGATCTGTCAGGGTTATGGAAAAATAAAAAGTAAGTTTCTTATCCACTTATTCGCATTTTTGAGTTTTCAAAAGAATTAATTGATTGAATGGCAAGTTAATTTGTAATTAATGTGTATTATGTGTTTAAAATAATTTTGTTCCATTTTTAGGTCGAGTTCTTTTTCTTATGGGTGACTTGATTATGGCTGATTATGGCTTACTTAAAACCTAATAATAATGAAACAATGTTTCAATTTAAATTATTTTATAAGCATTTTTGTTACTTTTTGTTGAATGTAATATTTTTTTGTAATTTGTATTGAAGTTTATACTTTTATTTTATCTCAAGAAAATTTTTTTGTTTATTATTATTATATTTTTATTTTATCGCAAGAAAGATGTTTATTGTTTCTCAAGTAAACATCTATATTTTTTTTATTTTTGGATTTATTGTTTTAAATGGATATGTTAATCATTTTTGCTTTGTTTTTTATATTTCCATTATTTTTTTTATATATGAATACCATTTACACTTAAATCACCTTTTGTACTCGAAATTTGCATTTGCATTAAGATTTTTGGCACAAACATCAGGTTTAATAACTTCGGCAGTAAAAACAGCTTAATTAAATGAATTTGTTAAGAGTTTTTTTTACAGAAACGCTTTTATAAAAAGTATCAAACAGACAAAACTAACTTATTTTAAATAACAAGTCTCTTTGTCCCGTTTTTCAATGTCGAAATTTGCTTTTTATATAAATCTTGATGAGAGGGTAAAATCTTGATTATAGCCTAAGTTTTCAAAAACACCTGAAGAAATGTTATGCAACTGTCTCTTATATGTTAAACATTTTTTTATGTATAAAATATTGTTGTATATTAAGTAAATAAGTTCTAAAGTATAATAAGTCAATTGTTAACCAAAAGCCAAAAACTTTAAATCGACTAATTTTTTGCTGTTTACTTAAAGTATAGAGACCTAACTAAGAACAAGTTTAGAACTATTTGGGTGTGGAACAGATTTACCACGACCCGTATCGTACGGGTCAGTAAAATATTAATAATATAATTAATTCTAAACCTAAAAAAAACATAAAAATAAAAACATAAAATTTTTTTTTAAATATAAAAAACAAATAACGAAACAAATATAATTTTGTATTTTATAATTCTATTTATACGAAAAACCTCAACTTTCTTATTGACATAACAACCTATAAAGTTTTTTCTATATAAGTTTATGACCGCCTAAATAAGCTAAACAATTTTTTTATATACAAATAAAATATCCACTTTAACATTAAGAATTTTTTTCCTTAAAAAAAATTAATAAAATGTTTTTTATAGTACAACTTCATTATTATCAAAATTTGTAAAAAAATTTGTAAGTTAAAATATTTATCTGTACTGCCAACATATTTTAAACGTAAGCGAAAACAGCACCACTAATGAAATTATAATTAATCCGTTGCAATGTTAGCATTTACTAAGGTTGCTTCTATATCGTTCTTGCCATTTTCTTACTGCAGATTCCATTCTCTACCTCAACAAATCTCTTATTTATCCCTCTATGGAATACTGTTGTTAAGTTTAGGCTTGTTCTTCTAATGATGCTCTTTCTCTTCTAGACTAAGCTCAAAAATGCATCGTACATGAAGTTCCATCGTCGTAAAGTTGCATCTCTTGAACTTTTCTACAAATACTATCATGGTTGCTGCTCTATTTCCATCAAATCATTTTTGATTTACTTGTTATTTATCAAAGTCGTTATTTTCGCATATTTTCATAGAGATTTTAAAAATAATATTCGTTTGTTATAAAAATAAATTACTTTGTGTTGACATGGGTTGTATATTTAAAATCAAAATGAGAAATGCTTATTAAACCTATTGCTTAGCACCAGAAATTTTGTTTTGTTGGCCTGTACTATTTGTAAATTTGTAAATAAAACTTAAAAATATAGAAGCATGTTTTCATTTGAGAGAATGATTTTTTTTAATTTCTTTTAAGTGACAAGTTTTATTTTTCAGAATAAACTAAATATTTTAAAACCATTATGTTCAACATAATGTCGCTCTGAAATGAAATGCAAAAACCATATATTTTGAAAACCGATTGTAAAAGAAAAATTTCATTTTGCAAATTGTATTTATTTGTTTTCATTTAAATATAAAAATATTGTGTTGCGCTGTTATTATATATGTTAGTGAGCATAATCCAAAAATGTCGTATTCTGAATGTGTTTATTTTTAGAAATACTTTTAAAATTAGCGTTACACAAAATTTGAAATTTAATTTTTAATATATTCTAAAGAATATATTAAATTTATATTTTAAAAGAATTTAAAATTAATTAGGACTTTCTTTTGCTATTGTTTTTTTCTGTAGTGATAATTTCATAAAACATCCTACCTTGATAGACGGTGCAGATGAAAGTTTTAATTGATCACCAAATGACATATTAAACCAAAACAGAACACCTGTTAAACTTCCATCATTTAATATCTTAATCTCAATATGGTTTTCTGAAGACATAAACAAATCCAACTCCTTTATTGCAATACAAATTTATTTAAAAACATAACTCCTTTCTATAGTATGAATATATATATATATATATATATATATATATATATATATATATATATATATATATATATATATATATATATATATATATATATATATATATATATATATATATATATATATATATATATATATATATATATATATATAACATCAAAATTAAGATAGGTATTGATTTATATTTTCAAATAAAAAGGGTAGTTAAGGGAGAATATGCCAACTTTGCTGTGTTAAAAATCGCAAAAAAAAGGAATTATTTTACCGCGAATTATAAGAATGAAATGAAATACTTTGTTTTACACTTTTATTTTGCTTTTGATCAACTATTTTCTTTTTCAATATTGAAATCATTTTACAAACATTCCTGGCATCTAGATTCTACAATTGTACTTCTTTCTTTGTTGGATAAAAACGTTTTTAACAAAGAAAAAAGCAAGTAAAGTTTTACTAGTTAATCAATTCTCCTATTTTTTAAATTGTCTAAGAAAAGGTTAATTGACTCACTTTCTACAATGGAAAAAATGATTAAAAAATGATGATAATCAAACAAATTTATTTTAAAAAATTTAATATCATTTTAAATAATTCATAATCAATTAAATATAAATCTTTAATTGATTATGAATCTTCATTCATAAAAAAATTTAACTGTAATTATACTTTAAATTTGCGGTAAAATAGTTGCAAGTTTTAACACTATTTAACACAATAAAACAGCAAAAGTTGGCATATTCTGCCTTAACTACCCTTTTTATTTGAAAATATACATCAATACCTATCTAATAAAAAAAAATCAATTCAAAATTTTGAACTGATATTTTTTGAACCTTTCCCAAGACTAACGAATATAGTCATTTTTTTAATTAAAAGGGGTACAATAGTGGTCCAATCAGGCTAACTTTTCTCTAAAAGTTAGTTTTAACACCAATGCCCAACATTTTAAGGGGTTGTTAATTGAAATTCAAAAATTTCCTCAAAAACATATGTATATGTATATGTATATGTATATGTATATGTATATATATATATATATATATATATATATATATATATATATACACAAACACACACATACACACACAACATTAAAATAAAAAATAAAAAATATATAATAAACCTTTTTGTTATTAATCTCAGCAGAGAGATCTAATTGAAAACATAAAAAAGAAGTTGATAGCAACTGATACTCTAAAGTTACACCTTCTATGTCAGGATGTGTTGATACCTGGAAATTGTTAAAACATTTTAAAATTCTTTGTATAACTTATTGTAGTTTTTAATTCAAAAAATTAAGTATGATTTGTAATAAGAGTTTGACCAAGTATTCTGAAAAACATTTTGAAAAACAATTAATTAAATTTACAAATGAATAACATATATATTTATAATTAATTTATTGTTAATTAAAAAAAATATATAAATATGAAGGAAACACAAACAATCACTATTCAATTTTACTAGTTTTTTACAAACTAGTAAAATTTTTAGTTTAAAAAAAAATTAAAGTAAAACTTGTAGGTTAAAAATTTTTTTTTTTGCATAAGCAAAAAAATAGTAAAAAAAAAGTATAAAAGCTCTTAAATAAAAAAAAACATAAAATGAAAAAGTTAATAAAACAAAAAAAAAAACATAAAATGTAAAAGTAAAAAAAAAACATAAAAATGTATAAATACACCAAAAAAAACAAACAGCAACCGTAAAATGTAAAAGGTTTTTTTTGTGGAGATTTTTTAATTAAAAAAAATGAACTTTGAGAAAGTGTATTAAGTTTCATTTGTTTAGAATTTTTATCACAAACAATCACATAAAAAGGTTGTTCAGATTCAAATAATTGAATGCAATTGCAGAGACAAATATTAAACTGCTTCTCTGAGTTTGTCTTTAAATAAAAAAAAGATATGCGAAAAAAAGATATTTTTGGTGCCACTCAGTAAATAAGTTCCAAGTCAAAGTGAACATTTACGTTCAAAGAGTTAAATTTGTTTTAGTTTACAAGAAATTTCTTCAGCAGTATGAAGAGTTGCATTTTTTTTTTAGCAAAGAGTTTCAGCTGCTAATTTGATTGGTTGATAAGTGTTAGGTAAAATCATTTTTTTAATGATTTTAAATCAAAATCATAAAAAAATGATTTTTAATCATAAAACCATGGTTTCAAAATCACAACATTAGCTAACAAATTATAAAAGAATATATAAAAAAAAGTATGAAAATTCAATGTGAGTCTTGGTTTAGTTTTTTTAATGTTAACTTTTCAAAAATATCATCTGAATGTCTGTTTCTTCTAGATGTCTCTATGAAGCCTGCAATACTAAAAAGGCGCTCCACAGCTGATGAAGGAATTGCTGTACTGTATCGAATGAAGACTTTTTTTGATTTTTTGATTTTGGAAAGGATTGATGTTGAGATGATTTATCATGAAACAATTTGACGAGTAGGAAAAGACCTGAAATAATAGCATAAAATTAACTATTAAACAGTTCAAAAAATTTAATGACATAAGACATTCACAAAAATTACAAAAACAACTGTTGTTCTAGTACTACATAATTTTAATAATTAATAAATAACTGAATTAAAATGAAATAACACAATTAAAATTTCCAAGTGTTACTATTCAATTTTTTATTGAATGAGAAAAAAAAAATTTTAAACAACATTTTATTTATATTAAACTAATTAAATTTGATTTTCCTTAAATTTAACACGCAATATTTAAAATGTATTTAACACATTGTTAAATGTATTTAACACATTGTAACGCAATATTTAATATTTAATATTAACAAATGAACCAAAACTCAAATCTCATTCGTTAAAAAACTAAATAGTTAAAATAAATCAGTAGTTATTTTAATGAGTATTGAGTACCTGCATTTGTATGGATTTGTTAACAGGTGATGGTGCTGTTGAATCACCATAACCATAACCTCATCACTGATTGTTAATGTTACTAAGTTATTTGATAATCAGCTGTTGCTGAACTAATTGACAGCTAAGTTATAGTATCACAAGACATTGGTTCTACTCACTTTAACTTGAAATCTGGATGTGACACTGCAGCCAGCACTACTTCTCTAACACTATTTTCATAATGTTCAGGGTAAAAACTATCCAAATCTTTTTATAAACATGACAGAAGTGATTTTATCAGAGCACCACACAAACAACATGCTGATTTTACCACACAAACTTCTGTGTGCATTTTCTACAATTTATGTCTTAATTGAATCAATTCAAAAGTATACAATAACAATCCTTGCAATTGATCTAGTATCGCAGCATCATCGCATTTTTGTATTCAATCAAAAAATCTATTTTATTTCTGGTAAACTTTAGCAGCTGTAAGACATCTGCATTTCAGTTCAATTTATATTTCAATTCTAAAATTCTGCAATTGCATCATACTTAGCATTCCATCTTAATTGCACCAGAACCAAAACCTTTTTATTAACATATGTCAGCTACTTTATAAGCAACCTTACTGCTACAATTTACAGTATTCCATAACAATTGACATTTTTCCATGCAAACATGATACATGTGGCCATAGGCCATATACTTTCTTGAATTCTTTGTGGCAATAAGATTCAGGCTGTGGCAGATACATCTGGTATGAAGTGGTAGTTGTACACTTGAAATATCTGTATTATGTAATATCTAACAAACTTCTTCTATAACTATTTTTGATTGTCTTTCTGTTTGTTACTGGTTAATCCACCAAATTGGATTAGTTATTAATCCACCAAATTGGACTTATTATTCCACCTGCAAATTTTTCTGTTTCTGATTGTCCTTCGGTTCTTCCTTTGTTATCTCTGGGTCATCTTAAACTAACATATACTTAGAAAATAACTTAACAAAAAGAACTTGCATTGTCAGTGACTGTGGTGACAATTTTGTCAAATTCATGAAAGTTGTTTAGATCACATACTACTTCAGCTATCATAAGTGTGTGAAAGTGTGTGAGAATTGATAATGTCTACGATCAAACTGTCAATTTTACTTTGATTAGACTGATTTGATGTGACAAACAGCTTAAAAACAGTTTAAATTGTATTTTTACCTTCATATTTACTAAGACAGCACTTTTTATTTTGTTTATTAATGACAGACTTTTTTTTTGTATAATTTATATTCGCTGACCAGTGATTTGTGTTTAATCTAAATATGCAAAAAATGTTCTACGTAACTTTCACTGCAAATTACTAATCTAACTAAGCTCTATTTTGAGTAAAATTGTGTTATAGCATACTTTATTTCTATGCAATTGAATAACCTATTTTATAATTATTAATCAACAACCAGGGTTAGGGTTAATTATTAAACTCTAATCTAATTCAAACCCTGATTCTAAATCTATACATTATTAACTTTAACAAAATTGTCACCTTGATCATTGATTAATAATGTTATACATTGAATAAAATATATTTTTCAATTGCATAGGAATAAAATACGCTAAAATACGATTATTAGTATTTATTATTTTACATAAACTAAAGATATATTTGAGGCCAATTGCTGTACTGGGCTACTTTGAGCCTGCAATTGCATATTGTATTGTATTATAAAATTTTTATAATAAATTAAATAATAACTAGATTACTTTTTGAAATTAAAAAAGTAAGAAATGAAATCTAACCATCAAATGCTGCAAAAAATAGTTGAGTTTCTGGCTCCTGAGAGCTCATTGTTGGAAAAATTAACACATTTAGCAATATGTTTAGTGCTTTTTTCATTATTTAAAAAAAAGAATAATCCATCGAGAATAACTGGCAACAGTTAACTGTTATTGTCCATTTTGTAAAATTAACTTGAATGACAGACAAAAATAACAGACATAAGTAACATAATTTTAAAATAACTTTAAAGATAGATTGCAAATACACTTTTATTTTTGGAATAAGATCACTTTCAACTTATTAGTAACAACTGGAAAGAAGACACGAGGAGTGAAGTCACTCCTCATGTCTTCTGTAAATTTTTAAATAACTGAATTGCTAGTTTGTAATAATTATTAATACTCAGATGTAGTGGATCAAATAATAGAGGTGTTAACAATAGGGTAAAACTTCCATCTATTTCATACCACATAACCTCCATTTAGTGCTGTAAGTTTGATAATAACTTCTTCAATTAACTATCTTTGAAAAATACTTTTGTGTGCTCCTTTTTGATATCAAATTTTTTTTATACCACATTCTAGCAGTTGAACTTAAGAATTGACTAGTAGTTTTACATATTTTGTATGTAACTTTATATTAAGGTGAAGTGTATTTTAAGTAACTTCACATTAAGGTGAAGTGTATTTTAAGTAACTTCACATTAAGGTGAAGTGTATTTTAAGTAACTTCACATTAAGGTGAAGTGTATTTTAAATAACTTTACATTAAGGTGAAGTGTATTTTAAGTAACTTTACATTAAGGTGAAGTGTATTTTAAATAACTTTACATTAAGGTGAAGTGTACTTTAAGTAACTTTACATTAAGATGTAGTGTTTCCAAATAATTAAACATTTTAAATATATTAAATTCAATCAATTCATAAAATTTCAAGAGATTTCTGAGCATTATTAATAATCAGTTCCTCAGTCTAATGTAGATTAGCTATTACCATTTGAAATAATTAACAAATCTAGAAAATCTAAAAATATTTTTCTTAATTACTCTTTAATATCATTCTTATTTCTCTTTTTTAACGTCTTAATAGTAATTTTTATGTATACCATAAATTAGTAACAATATGATTTTCATATAATTAGTAACACCACTAATGTTTAGAGTAAAGTTGAGATAACCATAATAAACAATTGATCCACTCACCAAATTTTTTTAAAAGTAACTTTAAATCTTGAAAATAATAATTATTTTCCAACAAATAAAATTTTGTAAACAGAAATCAATTTTTAACCAAGTGTAAAAATACATAACTATGTATACAACTTGATTTAATTTTTTTTTCTAAATATTATGAAAGATTCTTTTTAACGCCTAAAAACAACTTATTTAAAAAAAAAAACTAGTAAAAAAACTAGTATGATTTTTGGTAAAACCTCAACTCAACTCATACAAGTATGATTTGGGAATACTAAATAAACCTAAAATTTTTACCTTAAACTTATTTATGTGTTCAGCAATATTTAAACCTAATGTAGCTTCATCATCTGCAACCTGGTTCTTTTTAACCAATTCATGTGATGAAATACACAAACCAATGCAGTCTAGTTTAGAAGGAATAAACTCAGTTTCATTTGAGCACACTAACCTAGATAAAATAAAAAAAAAATAAGTTTTATAAAGATAATAATACTGATAACAAAAAAAAGTTGAAAAATAATAATGTAATTAAAAAAGAGATAGAAAATTTCTTTATAATGATACAGTATAAAAGAAAAATATTATTAAAAATATAATTATTTAATGAATATCATTATAATGAAAAATTTTAAAACAAATTATTTGCAAAATAAATTATAAACTTTAAAAAAAAATTATCTGAGGGTGTGTCTTTTTTTAGAATAAAAATATTTTTTTTAGGATGAAAATTCTGTTCAGATTGTAATACTAAAGATTAGTAAAAAATCAAAAAAATTGAAAAAAGATTTTCGATTTTGTTTTCAGGACTATACACTTTAGGCATGTGTGGAATGAGGAGAGAGACCTGGAGATAGAGTTTTTTTTATTTTTAATAAAGTTTTATTTATTTAATTTAACTTATTATAACCCCTCTTTTATTAAGATTCCTAATTTTGTTCTGCTCATTTTTACCATTATATATTTACATTTTTGTAGAAAAAATTGTTTACAAAAAAAAATGTCTCCAGTAAAAAACACCCTAAATTAATTTCATCAATACATACTTAAATGTCGTCAATAAAGATACACCCTGTAATCATTTCATTAATAAAGACACACCCTGTAATTATCTCATTAATAAAGACACACCCTGTAATCATCTCATTAATGCATACTTAATATTAACCATATCTTCAATAAAATTATCCTTTATCAAACCATTGCAGTCAATTGGTTCAGAAACAACAAGATCAAACTTCTTGAGTCCTATAACTTCATGGAGTCCTGCAAAATGACAACATTTTAATGACAGCATGAAAATTTATAAAATAAACAAATAAGTATTAAAAGGTATATATATAAATATATACAATGCATACAATACACAAGAATAAATATAAAGAATAGTATATAAAAGAATAAGTAAGAGAATTTATTATTTATTAAAATGATATTTATGCAAGATATAAACTTTAATTTTTTATAAAAACTGTTATCAACATGTGTCATGTGACATGTGTCCTGTTTAAAAACTAAAACTTTAAAACAGAAATAATAATTGTCCGAAAATAAAAAAAATGAGAAGGAAGACCATCAGTACCCATCGCTTTATTACTTTAAGTAATTTTAAAAAGCGTTCTACAATGATGCATGAAACATGAAAAATGGAAGGTTATAGTTGTCCTTGAATAACGAAATAAGATTTTGTTTAGTTTCTTTAACGACTATCGAGTAATAGTTAAAAAAGTTGTAAAAACTTTTATTTTTATTTGGAAACGGTGTTATATTGATATTTTTATTGACTTTTCCCTAGATAATTCCAGAATTTATCAGATTTAAGGTTTATTTTTTCGTCTATTATATTTTTTGTGGTATTTAGATTTGTAGTGTTTAATTACATTGTTACAGGAATTTCGTAATTGTGTGTATTTCAACCTATCTTTTTCATTTTTAATTTTACAGACTATTTTTAAGGTTTTATAGTTCATATATTTTTCTTAAGAAAAATATATGTACTATCAAAGAGATAAAAATTGAAAAAAAAATTTTAAACATAAATAAACTTTAAAAAAAGTAAAAAATGACTTTTACTTATTGTTCAAATCATTTTTCACATGCTATATAGAATGTTACTTTCCACAAAGTTTTTCACATACTATATAGCATGTTACTTTCCACAAAGACTGTTAACTAAACCAAACCATCGTTTTAATGAAAACCCAACCAAAAAAACAATTTCTATAAAAATACACTTTAGATGTTTCTCCAAACAAAAATCTTACCCATTATAATGGTAAAAGTTCCATCATTATTTAAAAGTTTTTTAAACTGCAACATTTCCGATTCTGTTCTTCACCATTAATTAATTAAATCTTATTGAGTTCAAAGATTTCAGGAATTAACATAGATATAATTACTGTGATTATGCTCCAGTAAAATAAACAACTATCTAATAAAAATAAACAACTAATCTAACTATCTAACTACTTATTCCACAACTATCCAGTAAAACAAAAAAAAATTTCTGTATAAAGATAAAAAAACTTATTACATACTATAAAGCATTGGGCGTGTCAGAATTTGAATTCTTTTATTTAATGAAGAATCTACATGTAACAACAGCTTTAATAAAGCATTTGAAGGTTCAATAAACGTGAAGAAGTTAACACCTGAAAAATTGAAAAAATTAATTTTGAAAATAAATAACCTGACTTCTTATTACTTTTATTCAGGATTTGAAAAATTTCAAGATTCAAGATTTTTACAATTTGTATAACAAAAAATACCTCAATTAAAATTTTTAGGGTAAAATAATAAAAGAAACCTCCATGAGAAGCTAGAAGTGGTATTACAGAAACATCAGCACATATAAAGCAAATGTTGAGAGCTTGATTTGAATGACATAACTTTCTAGATATGCATTGCTCATATATTTCAAAATATTCACAATCGTTATGTCTTGCAACCAATCGCCTATCAATATCCAAAACCATTACTTCATTTATTTGTGTGTGTTTACCAATATCAATGTTCATTTCTTCATTTTTAAATTGAATAAAAATACATTCCTCCAATATATTTATGTTAAGTGAAACTGCAGTACCTTGTAATAAAATTTAAGTTACATGAGGTCACTGAAACTTGAAATAAATATAATAAATATTATTAGCAACCCTTACACTAGGGTGATGCTTTTTTTAATTTTCTCATGAAACCTTTCCCATAATATAAATAAATGTATTCTAAGAACAGTTTAATAAAAAATAATTAAATATTTAAAAATTTTATTTAGTCAAAAAAAAAAGTTACTTTATAGAAATAAGAAAAAAATAGGAATACTTAAGTTGATAATGCCACCCGTCGACAAAGTAACTTTCTGTCGAAAAGCCGACTTTTAAAGGAGACGGAAGCTCAAATTTTTAGCGGCAAAATATTCTTTCTTCCGCCTCCAGTGGCTTCCGCTTTTTTATTGGCGGCCGCAGCCGGTGTTTTTTTTTGGAGGCAAAATGTTTTGGAGGCCGACACCAATAGTGGCGGAAGCCAATGGTGGCCGGCTTCAGAAGAAATTTTGGAGGCAAAGCCATTTGGAGGCCGCCTCCAATGGTTTCTGCCTCCTAACTGGCTGCGGCCATCAAATTGGAGGTGGAAATATTTGCCTCTTGCTGGCGGATGTAATGAAAAATAATTGCTCTTTTGCTTTAAAACAATTAAATATTAACTAAAAATAAATGTTAAATACTTGTTGTAATAAAGAAACTTGTTGTAATAAATAAATAAATGTTAAATAAAGTAACTTTCTGCCAAAAAGCCGACTTTTTAAGGAGGCGGAAGCTCAAATTTTTAGCGGCAAAATATTCTTTCTTCCGCCTCCAGTGGCTTCCGCTTTTTTATTGGCGGCCGCAGCCGGTGTTTTTTTTTGGAGGCAAAATGTTTTGGAGGCCGACGCCAATAGTGGCGGAAGCCAATGGTGGACGGCTTCAGAAGAAATTTTGGAGGCAAAGCCATTTGGAGGCCGCCTCCAATGGTTTCTGCCTCCTAACTGGCTGCGGCCATCAAATTGGAGGTGGAAATATTTGCCTCTCGCCGGCTGATGTAATGAAAAATAATTGCTCTTTTGCTTTAAAACAATTAAATATTAACTAAAAACAAATGTTAAATACTAGTTGTAATAAATAAACTTGTTGTAATAAATAAATAAATAAATAAATGTTAAACAAATAAACTTTATTAATTTTTAATAATGTTAAAAGATGTTGTGTTTTTCAAATATTTTTACAATATATAATGACTAGAATTAATAATTTAATGTTATGGTCGAAAAATTAAAGTTTTAGCGTGATGTAAGGGCAACAAAATATCAAACGATCAAAAACTTTAATTATTTGTCATAAACATTTTTTTTTGCTGAAGGCATGTAAACAAAATTTTTAATTTTTAATATTTGTTTTAAAATAAAAATTACTAATTTATTCGATAATAGTAGATAAACAACTGCTCTGACAAAGTTATAATTTTTTTTTTAATTTTTTAAATTGTCAATAAATAATATAAAATAAAACTTTGATGTCAAGTATTTAACGTTTGTTTTTACTTAATATTTAATTGATTTAAAGCAAACAAGCAATTATTTTTCATCACATCCGCCGGCAAGAGGCAAATAATTCCGCCTCCAATTTGACGGCCGCAGCCAGTTAGGAGGCAGAAGCTATTGGAGGCGGCCACCATTGGCCTCCGCCACTCTATTGGTGTCAGCCTCCAAAACATTTTGCCTCAAAAAAGAACTCCGGCTGCGGGCGCCAATAGAAAAGCAAAAGTCACTGGAGGCAGAAGAAAGAACATTTTGCCACTAAAAATTGATTGGGAGGCAGCAGACATGCCGCGTCCCAATCAATTTGCCTGCAGAAGACATGCTGCCTCCCAATCAACTATTGCTGAAGAAGTGTGGAGGAAGGAAGATTTATGCCGTTTATCAACACTGCTTAAGATAATTATCCTCTATTATCACTTTTAAATCAGATGAAGTTAATAGTTATTATATTACAAATTTACTTAACTACCAACTTGCTGATAGAAACAAAGTACTTTTATTTAATTTTCTAATTTAGTTTATTTTATTTTATTTTTTTGTTATTCACCTCCTCAAGGCCCAAGAAGGCCACTACAGATGAGGAGGCTACTTAATAGTGGTTGTAACCTTATCTCAACTCTATAACTACAAAACTTGAACCTTGACAAACAAGGCTGCTGCGCGAAGAAACAAGTTGAGCGCGGCACTACCAGCGACATGGTGGGGATTGAACTCAGACCTCTTGATTATGAAGCGAGCATTTTACCACTACACTACTACCGCATAGTTATAAACATATTTCCATAAATATGTCTCGCATAAGTGCTAATGGAGTCTTAAAAAGAAAGGCAGACAACTCTAGACCACCATGTTCAAAAGAATCGAGAGAACTTCTGGTATTAGTTGCTCCATATGGATTACTAAGGAAAAGCTTGGCTAATTTCAAGACTATTCCAGAAGTTCGACACATTCTTGGCTACTATCACCATTCAGTTGACACACACCCTGCATCACCATCAAGTTGTTATACAAATAATAGTGAAGGATTTGGAGCAGCTCTGGAATATGAAATTTAGCTTACTGTCAGTAACCAGAGCTGGCATCACAAAAAAACTAAATAAACTTGTGGTTGAATAAAAAAAATGTTTAAGGAGAAATTCAACTATGGATTTTCTTATGCCGTTTAATATTCTTGACAAAAAAAGAAAAATGAAGAGCAAAGAACAAATATTTTATAATCATCAGTAAAAAAGTTGTTGAGTATCCTGCTAATAGGCAATTAATACTAAAAAATCTGGATCTTGATTATCTAGTGCAATTATATACAGAATCAAGCTCTCAAAATTATGATGACTCTGATGGTTTTGAGCCTTCATTCGAACCACCTAAAAGGAAACTTGAACCAAAAGTAAGTAATAATACTTCCCAAAATAAAAGTTCTTGCTTTTTTTGTTTATATATTTACTTTGTTTTTAATTAAAAACAATTTCAGTTGCTGTGATGTACCCTGATGCTGGAATCTCTATCCTCAAAGGAGCTAGAGTAACTCGCTCATTACGTTATTTTAATGATGATATTCCCACTCCACATTAATCTGCTATTTTTAGAGCTTTGTCAATTGAGACATCCTTTATTTTACATTTTGATGCAAAAGCTGTGGCACCATATGATTACAGCATTAAGAAAGTGGAACGTATAGTCATTGCCTTTCAGTCAGAGGGACCAATTTTTTGGTACATTGGCCTTAAAACACTACATACTAGTGGAACTTCTGAAAATCTAGCAGCTATGATAAAGGAAACGGTGTTAGAATATGTTGTCGATAAAATATCCCTTATCGTATGCAACACTTGCTTTGTCAATACTGGTTTGTAAAGTTAATATTTTTATTTATTTATGAATATGTATGATGCAATAAATAATTACATTTTTTTTTAATTAGAGCTTATGATGGTTCTGGTAGAATAATAAGCATTTTACAAACTGAGCTATTTAACAGACTTGTTCCGTATTATGGGTGTAATGCTCATATTTAAGATCTTATTTTTTTTAAAATAGCAATTTTCTATTTACCAACCATTACCATCAAAATCACCTGTTCTAACTGATTTTAAGTTTATAAAGAAATTAAAAGATAAGTATCCAAATTAAAAGAATCATGTAATTTCTTGCATAAAACACCTCATCTTCCTCCTACTGTTACACTGTAAAAATTTGTTTTGTCAATTTAACCAAATATGTTTGGTTAAGTAGATTTTGTAAAAGCTATAAACCTGTTTGGTAAAATATACTAAATCTTTTGTGAACTTTACCAAATCGTTTTTGTTATTTTAACCAAATTATTTGGTTGGATAACGCTTTTACTTTTTGTCTTCACACAAAGTATAACAAACTTATTTGGTTAAATTTACAAAATTGTATTTGTTATTTTCACCAAATGCGCCAACGGAATTGCAAATAACAGGAGAAAAACAGAGAATTTGTCGCCATTTTTTTCTTTATTGTCAGGCATCGTAGTTTCAACTGAAAAGAAAAAATTTATTAATGTCACTATAATTATGATTAACTGCGCTTATTGTGAATATACTGCAAGCTCCAGCAACTCTTATAAATGTCATTTAAAAGTTTTTCACAACAAACATAGTTATGGCGAAAGATTAGTTTGCAGTCAGGATGGTTGTCCGATGGAATATAATTCTTTCCAAAGTCTTGCAAAACATATTGAAAAATTTCATCAAGATGTTCTTAAAAGGCTTACTTTAAAAGAAGCAGATACTACACAACGATGTTTCTCTTCGAATAACTTGTCTTCAGCTGTTCACGATACTGAACCTGTTTGCACAAATAATATGTCAAATTTTGGTATTAGATTTGATGAAATCGATGGTATTTTCGAAGATTCGGCTTATTTTATTTCTAGACTAAGAAGTTATTCTAACCATTACAAATAATGGATGCATGCTCAGACTTTGTGTCATCAATTGTAACAGGAATTAGTAATGAGACCCAAGTAATTTTTGAAAAGCATGGTCTCCAAAATGATGAATATTATAATTTCTTTGAATAGATCTCACTCCTCAAAAAACCTTTTTTAAAGTTTAGAAAGTTTGCATAAACGAACAAGTTATTTTGAAAAAAAAGGGTATTATATAAAACCAAAATCATACTCAATAGGTCATTCTATAAGCACTCAAAGAACAGCTAAAGGAATAGTTTGCTCAACTTGTATTGCAACAGGGCAATATGTTTCATTAAAACAATGTCTTAAAGTTTTTCATTGTCTTCCTGGTGTACTTGATGAAATAAGAAGTAATACAAAACCATCTACTAATGGTTTAGTTTCAGACTTTAAAGATGGAGAGTTGTGGCAAAATCACCAATTACCTCGTCAACATGTTCATTCCCAGAATACTTTAGTAATTCCAGTTTTTTATTTTTTTGATGATTTAGAAACTGCTAATCCATTAGGTTCACATAGCACTGTTCACAAAATTGGAGCTTTGCGTACAATTCTAAAATGTTTAAAACCGCTTCAT